TGTTAAATGTTAAGCTCTAGAGTCATTTTTCAGTGAGAGCAGTTAATATTCCCCAGATAAAGGAAAGTAGCCCAGGTTTTTTATTATGCTAATCATTTATTATCATGTGTAAGATTCACTTTAACATGCTAAAAGGCCCAGGCCTATGTGCTGTTTTTCCTCCTTCAAATCTGATGAGGTTATTCGCAATCTGGGCAATTAAAAATGGCAAGCAAGCCCAGCCATAAACAACATAGTAAAAGGCAGGACGGATTCCACCTTAAAGATAAGATTGCACTTTAATACCCAGGAAGATAAGTAGATTCTTAACATACTCTTTAGCAAACAGTCAATAGCTCAGCCCACCTTGGGGGCTGGGCAGGCAGTCTTGTATGATATGCGGCCAGACCAAGATGCCAGTATCTCAGAAAAATCAGAGCAGCAAATTTCTTGTGTTAATTTTAAATATTCAGGGACCAGTTAACAAGTCTACACCCCTAAGCCCCTTAACACAGCTCCAAAAATCCTCAACTGCCTATAAAGCCCCTAGACAACACACAACTACGGGCTCTCTTGTCCCCTCCCGGTACAAGCCAGAAGATCTTTCCTCTTACTTTATCTCTATATAAAGGCCTGTCACTAGCTCTCCTACTTTTACTGTTTGTGAAGTTCATTCTTTGACTCCGTGAACAAGAGGCCCAGCATTAGTTCTGGGGAACTGCAAACGTTTAACTCCTATTTAGACAGGAAGCGCTCAGTATTCACATTCCATCACCCCATTATTATGAAGGGCTTACACACACCGCTGCAGGCAATGGTGCAGGTCACAGCAGCAGAGCAGACAGACTGAGAAACCTGAGCAGGACAGCTGAGGTGATCAGGGCAAGTGAGGTGAATCTTTAAAATCACCTAATGACAGCGCTCCACGTTAAGTTAGTCCAAAGGACAAACAGTGAGAGGGTTTAGAAGACTGACCAATCAACTCATAAAAGAAAGAAAATATCAACATTCCGTGCATCAACACAAATGCTCAAAATGACATACTAGCACACAAAATTCAACACTAGGCTGAACAGGTAATATATACTAACGAAATGGGACGTATTCCAAGAATACAGACTCATTTACTTCTGGAAAATCCATTAATATAATGTCTGATAATAATACAGCTACAAAGAAAAATCTTATACCTCCAAAGATCCTGAAAGAGCTGCTGACAATATTCAAAATGCACACCTGATTGAAAAAAAAGTAAGAAATAGGAACTGATGGATACTTAAGTAACATGAACATATACACATGTATATATATACACACTTATACCTGATTATGCATAGGGTGATATACACACATGTGACACATAGGTGCATACATCTCGATCACAAATACACACATATATATATATACATACTTTTTAAGTTTACACAGACACATGAACACATGCATATATTAATGCTTCAGTCCTCACAGTTCTAAAGTCAGGATTTTACTTAATGGAGAAACACTAGACAAATTCACACTAAGGTCAGGAACAAGGTAAAATGATCATTATCTCCAATTACAGAGAACGATTAGAGGCATAATAATCAAAGACAATTCTCTGAAGAAATTCAGATGGCCAACAGGCACATGAAAAGATGCTCCACATCGCTAATCATCAGAGAAATGCAAATTAAAACCACAATGAGATATCACCTCACACCAGTCAGGATAGCCAACATTCAAAAGACAAACAACAATAAATGCTGGAGAGGATGAGGAGAAAGGGGAACCCTCTTACACTGCTGGTGGGAATGTAAACTAGCAGTTTACATTGGTTGTTCAACCATTGTGGAAAGCAGTATGGAGGTTCCTCAAAAAACTCAAAATAGAAATACCATTTGACCCAGGAATTCCACTTCTAGGAATTTACCCTAAGAATGCAGGAGCTCAGTTTCAAAAACACATATGCACCCCTATGTTTACCACAGCACTATTTACAATAGCCAAGAAATGGAAGCAACCTAGTGTCCATCAGAAGATGAATGGATAAAGAAGATGTGGTACATATACAGAATGGAATATCATTCAGCCATAAGAAGAATATATATCCTACCATTTACAACATGGATGGAGTTAGAGGGTATTATGCTCAGTGAAATAAGCCAGGCAGGGAAAGGCAAGTATCAAATGATTTCACTCACCTGTGGAGTATGAATACAAAGCAAAAACTGAAGGAACAAATCAGCAGCAGACTCACAGAACCAAAGAATGGACTAACAGTTACCAAAGGGAAAGGGACTAGGAAGGGTGGGTGGGATGGGAGGGAGAAGGGGATTAAGGGGCATTACGATTAACATGCGTAATATAGGGGTTGCACGGGGAAGGAAGTGTAGCAGAGAGAAGACAAGTGGGAACACTATAGCATCTTACTATGCTGATGGACAGTGACTGCAAAGGGGTATGTGGTGGGGACTTGATAATAGGGGAACATCGTAACCATAATGTTGCTCATGTGAATCATTAGCTTAAGATTGCATATCAATGACACTTTCATAGAAAAAAAAAAAAGTCCAATTGGATCAATGATCTAAATGTAAAAAATTCACATGACCAAAAAAATTGGTGTATTTCCCCAGAACCTTCATGTAGGCTTTCGAATAGTGAGTCAAAACATAATTAGGACTTCTGCTTTTACTTGAGATGAGCACAGACTGCATTTACCCTCATACCTGGAACCCGAGAAAAAAACACAAAAGAACATATGCACAGCAAGGGGTCTCCAAGACACTGATCGACGGGCAGTGAAGGACAGTAACCCGTGGGACAGGAAATAAACAGGGTGAGCCCTACAGCCCCTGCCCTGAGAGTTTCCAGTCACACAGCAGCGCGGGAGCACACAGAGGTGGGGAGAAAGGGTTGAGAAACTGGGGGGAAAATGTAGGGAAGTACAACCCATCAGGAAAATAATCAACTGAAATGGGCCCAGAACTACCAGATGTTACAATGAGTAGAGAGCATTAAAAGAGCTTACAATCATATTTTTTATATTTAAAAAAAAACTGAGTAGAGACAGGGAAGATATAAAATGAAACTCAAAACTTCTATAGAAAAGACACAGCATCTTAAAATGGAAATTACACTGGGTTAGAATAACAGCACTGCCAAAAAAAAAGGATTAGTGAACATAAAAACACAGCAGTGGAAGCAGTAAGAAATGAAACACGCAGAGAAAAAACATTAAAGGGAAAGGAAGGCCATCAGTCAGCTGTGGGACAGTGTCAAGCCGTGTAATATACAGGTAATGAGAATCCCTGAAGGGAGGCTGGGGGAAGCAAGGGGAACATTTGAAGACATACGGTCAAAATTTCCCTAAAGTTGATGGAAACTGTAAACACACAGATCCAACAAGTTGCATGACCCCCAAGCACAGACACACGAGGGACACCGCAGCCAAGATGAATACAGCACATCGCCTATGACCAGTGACAGTAAGAACACTTTAAAGCAGTAAGAAGAAAAACAGAATGTTCCATACAGAGGAACAGATGAAGATGACCTCAAATTTGTCTTGGAGAAAATGTAAGGAAGGAACACACTTGAAGTACAGGAGGAAAAAACAGCAAAGATCCTTTTAAAAAGGAAGGCAAAATACAGACATTTTCAGACCTATGAGAGCTGAAAGGTTCTTCATTAACTACCAGAAATGTCACCGAAAAGTCCTGCATGCAGAAGGAATAGAAGAGCACATAAAAATCTGGGTCTATACAAAAGGAATGAAAGAAAAAGAAATAGGAACTATATATTTTCTCTTATTAGTTAAGTCTCTTAAAAGGTTTACTGACTGTGTCATTGCAAATAACAATGTATTGTGGGATCGGTACTACTGTGAAAGTAAAGTGCAACAACACTGCAAAGACCACGAGGGGAGAATTGGAAGTAACTGTGAGCTTCTTATACTCTAGTGAAATGATAGATCACTTTAAGAAAAACTATGATAAATTAAAGGCGCATAACAGAAACCTTAAAGCACCTATTAAAATAACAATGTTACAGCCAACAACCCAACAAAGGTTACAAAATGGAATCAAAAAATGCAATGAAGTGAAAGGAAGGAAGATGAAGAAGAAAAAGGAGACAAAGAAGATGGGACACACTGCAAAAACAACAGACCACAAGCTACTCAGTTACACCAATAATTGTGTCAGATGGAAGTGGTCTCAACACCCCAGTTAACAGGCACAAATGGTCAGACTGGATAAAAAGGTAAGACCCAATCATATACTATCTACAAGAAAATCACTTTAACTAGAAAGGTGCAAACTTAAATGTAAAAGAATGGAGTAAGATACAGCAGGGGTGGCTCTATAAATGTCAGAGAAACTCCATGTCAGAATAACTAACAGGGACAAAACAGGCCATTTCACAACGACAAAGTGGTTAATTAACCAAGAGGATACAACAGTCTTCAGTGTTTACATACCTAACGATAGACATGAATCGAAAACCGGCAGAACTGCAAAGTGAAATAGACAAACCATACCTTGGATCATACTATTTTGGTGTCTAGATTTTACAGGCACCAAGTTTTCCTTGGGCAGCAGGCCCTTGGCTTAGACAGGCTCCAAGAATAAGGCACACATTAGAACGAATTAAGGGTTGTATTAGGAAAGCTATCTACAATTATGTCAGCTTTAACAAGGACATTTTTGTAAGTCGTAGGAAATTTTAAAAACCCGAAAGTAACAAAAGTGTCAGCTACTCACACTGCTGATCTGAGTCATGTAAAAGTATCCCCTTTCTCTGTGACTGTCAGGCCCACCAGTCACCTTTGCAGCTCTATTTCAATATCCCTCAAGTATCGTGCTACCTACACATAAGACCTCCAGAGACTCTTGGTGCTGACCTAAGACTCTCATAACTGTTTTTTTACATGGTAATGCCTTTTCCTTATTTCCACACTCCCATTTTCAAGTATGGATCTTATAAGCCTCCTAAAATGCACTACCAAAGTGCAGGAGCACACACATAGGAGAACTCACCTGGGAGTCGTGCATTTTCTGCTGCTCTTGGAAAAGTGTAGAGGCTGCTAACGATGGACCTAGAGGAGAAGCAATTAAGTGAGTCATGAGTAATGCGGCCTGCCAAGGCAGGAAACGCCTGCGTAAGAACCACCAAAAAGCTCTCTAAAATCGGACACCCTGAGAATACTCAGAGGGGGCTAAAAGGGGCATCCAGGAAAAATACGTCATCCAACAGGAGCAGAAGACAACTCGGTGGGTGCCTCCTATGATGAATATAACCATTGATTCCTTTTCTAAAAAGCCTGGCACCGTTAAATGAAAGGTGCTAACCCCACTATACTGCTTATGTATTTCATTACTGTTCTCTTACACTGTTTAGAAGCAAAGAATCCTCAGGAACGGAGAACATGAGCTGTCAAAAATGGGATAAATGTGCATCGAGGCACAGTTTTGTTTCTGATTTTCCTGATTAAACTTGGTTACCACTGCACATAAAATCTATTACTAAGAAAACTAACATACAGGACAGAACACCTGTTTGGGAGTTAGAGCCCTGTTAGGAATCCCACCACAGACCCAGAATCTTGGACAAGTCACCTTCCTTCTCAGGTCGAACCTCTTCCTCCGTCAACCGAGGTGGCAGGAGAGAACCCTGCACACCTGTCCCGCACTGACTACACTATGTGCTCCACAGGGCGGAACCAAGGGGATCAGCTTCACTCAGGCGAGACAACAAAGGTGCTGAAGGACCCCAGGTGACCTGTTCGAAATCTGGAAGGGCGAGGGGAGGCGGCGGTGTCGGGTGTGCAGGCTGAACTGGGGACCACGTCAGCGGCCGAGGCTGGGGACCCGCCTGCTGCTCAGCAACCTGCAACTCCGACGCCCAGAGAGCGCCGGCCACGATCACGGCCGCAGAGTCTCGCCCGGCACTCTTGTCCCGTTCGGGGCGCGCTCTCCCGAGCCCCGCTCCGCTGCCAGGACCGCGGCGTACAACCTACCGCGCCGGCACTCGATGGCTCTCAGGGCTCTAGAGCGCTGCCCCTGCAGGCGATTCCCTCCGGCCTCCTCCGCTACACAGCGCACTGTCGCGGAACGAGGGGCGGGCCCTGTGCCCACGGGACAAGCGCCTCGTGGCCCGCAGCGGCATCCGGGCATTTCCCGACCGCGCCTCGACCGGCCCGTGTGAACCCTCGACCCCACACCCTCGCGCTCACTGTTTGCCGGCCCAACCGAACAGAAACCAGCTTCGGAGGCCCGGGATCCTCACCCGCCGTTGGCAGACACGCCGGAGCCGGAGCCAGCGGTGACCTACGCACCGGCCGGAAGCGAGGTCGACCCGGCAGCACTGCGCCGGCGCGAACGCTCCCCCACGGCCAGCGGCACTCGCGCTGAGGACGCCGGAAGTCCGCCTGCCGGGGCACACGCCCGCTAGCCCCACAAATGCCAGGACTCTCTTTCCCATAAATCCATGCGCCATCAGCTTAGGGAATTTATTTCCAGTCTAAATCTCACCTGGCGGCTTTGGGGCGCTGTGCGGAGAGCTAGGGCGGCGGGACGGGGACTCCGCGACCAGTTTACGTTCAGGAGCAGGGAAAGGTGCCGCATCAGCAGGGCCTGTGTGATTGCGTCCCGGATTCCTGGTCCTTTCCCCTGAGGTCTTTCGGGTTACAACTGAGATTCCCCCCAAGCAGAAGAGGAAGGAAAGGTTGCGTGCTGTGTTCACTTCACTGAGATAATAGAAGGTTCACTAAAGTACTAGTGATAATAGGATGCGATTAATGCCCAGCCGTGATATAAAACCGTATTACCACGGGCATATGGTTCCTCCAAGGAAGGGGACGCAAATGGAAATTGCAGTATTTCTACATAACTAATGCATAAAAAGTAGAAAAATCAGAGAACACACAGGAATCGAAAAAAGAAAACATACTTGGGATCTTGCTTCTTAAACAGGATTGTTTATGTTATGTAAAAATTTCACTTTTCAAAAGGGGTCCTGAGGACAATGATTTATCACTGTTTTTGGATGAAATAATATAACCTTGTTCGTTGTCAATCCTTTCTAGAAGCAGGGGGTTGGGAGGGTGTTGAAATCTCCCTTCAACAGGGAACATCCTCTCCACATATATGGGAATTAGGAAGGCATAAGCCTCGTGATTTACGTAGCTCCTCATCTTTTTATGTAGGTCAGTAGATACAATTCATTAAACACATGAACTCAAAATACACGGTAACCTTTTTCATGTAAAAGCGTTTTTTGCTATATATTCTGCCATAGTTCATGCTAAATTCACCTGGTAATCTGGGTCACCATTATGCTAGTTAACTGCCCTTATCCAAAGGGAAAAGAAAATTTCTCAGATCTGACAAGCAGTTGGTTACAGTTCAGAACAACGTGCCTACCTGCTAGCCTAAACTCCTGTGGTGATGAGAAGGACAGTGTTCTTTGAGGTTTACATTTCAAAGCAATGGCTCTCACCCATAAGGAAAGACATTCCTGGGTTGTAATGCTGACAAGGGACTTACTTAGTTTTTTAAAAGATTTAGATACATATGAAAGGGACAGAGGAATTATTCATATTACACTTCTCTCAAGAAAATTTTCTTTAAAAAGGGAATTAGTCAGTACGGATTCATCCAAATGAATGGGCACATAACCCACTCCCGATTTCCCCTGCCAAACTACTGTACTAAACTAATCCTACACAAAACGTGTGCCTCCAAAATTGCTCTTCACAGTGGCTGCATCACCAGGAACTCTTTCGCAGCTCTTGTTGCTGTTAAGCATGGCAGTGCAACAATTCTTAACGATGGAATGCTGGAATTCAGGTGACAGGGACCACACTCCTCTGGGAAACCTCCAAGGGTCTCTGCTCTTTTCCATTTTCACCAGATAAAGGATGGAAGCTGCATTGATTACCTGGCACCCAACCGTGAGGGCACACAGCACTCCTAATCTGGGTCCTGACCGCCAGTTTTTCCCTTGCCTGCCTGCACGGAACAGTGCTCACCTCAGGACTGCGATGGCCTTTGCACCCGCCCGGCACTGCCTCTGTGCCCGCTAATTCCAAGCTGCCATGCCCCACTCAACGTTCCACTCCGTCCTGCAGCTCAGCACAGTGCTGCGCTCCCAGGTCCCCTACGCTATACGGTGACCCGGTAACTCTGGGCCGTTAGCTGCTCACTGTGCTCACCCCTCCCTCCAAACCGCTAAAAATAGTCAGTTCACATCCCCCGTATTGAAAGCTTGTTGAATCTGGGAGGGTAAGTTCTACCGTGTGAGTTCATCTTGGCCAGAAGTGCACCTTTTACTGTGGCTTCATTCAGCTCTCTTCATATACTGCTATTTAGAATAGAAAACTCTATTTGTATTTGTATTTGAGTAAAACACAACTATTTCTCCAATTTGTCATCTATCTTTTTAACTTACTTTTATTTTCCCATAGACATTGTTAATCTGTTGTGTACAATTGTTTCACTTCCTCCTCATACTTTTCATGTTTTGACATTACTTGAAGAAGCCTCTCCCATCCTTAATTTTTTAAGCTGTTGCCCGTGTTTACTCCTAATTATTCTTTCTCTTTAATGCATCAGTTTTATGAAGATAACTGGCACCCATCTTCAAGATTTGGAAATCATTCTATTTCTTAAAAGCTTTCAACTGTCTCTTCAAAACTCATGAGGTTACTCTGACTGGGAACCGTCAGAAACTAAGAAAGCTTGTGTTTCTGATCTGGCATGAAAGAAGGGGTTCTTCTTTGAGGGCTAGGGACCCATCTTACATTAAAGGAAGGGGAAGCAGCAGGGTCAGGAAAGTGACTGTCAAATCGGAATTCCTTCTCATTCATAATACTGGTTCTATCAGTTTCCTAAGGACACAGTAACAAAAACCATCAACCGGGCGGCTTAAAACACAGAAGTCTACTGTCATACATTCTAGAGGCCAGAACGTCAAGGTGTCTGTGAGAAGGGTTGGTTCTCTCTGAGGGCTGTGGGGGAAGGATGTGTTCACAGCCTCTCTCCTTGGCTTGTAGATGGCTGTGCCCTCTCTCCTTCTCTTCTCAGTGTCTTTCCTCTATTTGTATCTCTGTGTTCAAATGTCCCTTTTTAAAAGGATACACTAGTCATACTGGATTAAGGTTCACCCTAATCACCTCACTTTAACTTGATTGCATCTGTAAAGCCCTTATTTCCAACTACAAGTAGGGTTTTGGACTCCAACATATGAGTTTTGGGGGGATACAATTCACCCCAAACACTATGTCCCCGGTTCTGTCAACTTTCCTGTGGCTGCTTTCTCACTGCCTTGGTTATGTTAACACAGGAAAGCCCCTTTCAGTTCAGCCTAAGTGTTTTATTTTATAGATGAAGAAATTTAAGACCAGATGGTAGGGAAGGACTTGCTATCTCAACAAAGAAAATGAGACAATCCTGAAAATGTCTTACAAAGGATGAATCTTTATTTCAAAACAAGAGCAGAGCATGGAAATGGGCACTCTGGTATTTACGTCACTTTTGCAACACTTGTCAGAGAGGCAAGGACAACAATACAACTAAGCTTATTTTGGGGTCCACTAAGAGTGTCTCAGCCATAGGGGAAGGGGAATGCATAAAAGTTAAACACCAGCAGTTGCCCTTAATAAGTAGCCCTTAATTCAGGCACAGGATCTGAGAGGTCCGTACCAAGCACCACCTCTCCATGTCCCCATCACAGAATTCTTTTCTGTCCTTTAGGACTCACTGTCATTTTCCTGGGGCTTCAATATGGGTCACAGAAGGGGAAGCTCAGAGACCACCCCTCAGCTCCTGGGAAACCCTTCTCTCCTTTCTGTTTCTTTGAATTTGATTTCTTTATTTTAGATGCCACATGGAAGTGAGACCACACAGAACTTGCCTTTATCTGTGTGGCCTCTTTCACTTAGCATAATACCCTTCAGGTCCATCCATACAGGATTTCCATCTTTCTCGTGGCTGAATAATATTCCATTCTGTGCAGATCAGTATCTGTCAACCACATCTTCTTTATCCATTTATCTGCTGATGGCCACTTAGGTTGCTTCCCTATCTTGGAAAATGTGAATAATACTGAGGTGGCCATGGGAGTGCACACATCTCAAGATCCTGTTTTCATCTGCCTTGGATGAACACCCATAAGTGGAATTGCTGGTTCATATGCTGGTTCTATTTTTAATCTTTTCGGAACCTCCATATTGTTTTCCAGATGAACTGATTGGACTTTACTCATCCTTGGTATGGTCTAAACCATTCCATTGATGACAATGGAAGTCATCAAAATACAAAATAAAACTTCACGCATATCCTGAAAAAGGGATGTCCTTCTCACCAAAGTTCAAGCAACGGATCAAAAGTAAGACGCAGAGCCAAAATGCGGGAACAACCCAAATATCTGATGGATGGATAAGTAAAATGTGGTATGTGTATATGTATATAAAATGCATATTACTCATCCTTAAAAAGGGAGTTCTGGCATGTGCTGCCACATAGGTGGCCCTTGAGGACACTGTGCTGAATGAAATAAGCCACACACAAATGGACCAGTTTTGTAGGATTCCACTTAAATGAGGGACCCAGAAGAGCCAAAGCTATAGAGACAGAGGGGAGGATGGTGGGTGCCAGGGAGTGGAGGGGAGACAGGGCAGGTGTTCTTTAATGGGTGTGTAGTGTCAATCTGGAGATGGATGGTCAGGGACAGCTGTAAAGTTTAAAATGCTCAGTGCCCCAGAACTGTCCCCTTAAAAATGGGTCAAACAGTAAGCTTTATGTTATTTTACCACAGTAAAAATTGAAAAAGAAAACGTGAGATTCAGATGCCCAGGTGAAAAGCAGAGGCTCAGAGCTCAGGAGGAGCCACCTGGCTTGTGGCAAGCCTTCAAGTGGGTGGTTTCCAGTCTGCGTCTGTGCCCCTGTGTGCCCCCACCTTCACAAAACATCCTTGTCTCTCCTGAATTGGAGGTTTCCCCACTAAGTCTTTCTCTGTATGTGGCATTTTTGTTGTTGTTGTATATTTTGGTATCGTTAATGTAAAATTACTTGAACATTATGGTCACTAGACTCCCCTCAATATCAAGTCCCGCCCACATACTCCATTACAGTCACTATCCATCAGTGCAGCAAGATGCTACAGAATCATTACTTGTCTTCTCTGCATACACTGCCTTTCCCATGTTGCTCCCCGCTACATTATGTGTGCTAATCATAATGCCTCTTTTCTCCCCCTTATCCCTCCCTTCCCACCCATCCTACCCTGTCCCTTTCCCTTTGGTAACTGTTAGTTCATCCTTGGGTTCTGTGAGTCTGCCTCTGTGCTGTTCCTTCACTTTTTTCTTTGTTCTTATATTCCACAGATGAGTGTAATCATTTGATATTTGTCCTTCTCCACCTGGCTTATTTCACTGAGCATAATACCCTCTAGCTCCATCCATGTTGCTACAAATGGTATGATTTGTTTTCTTCTCATGACTGAACAATATTCCATTGTGTATATGTACCACCTCTTCTTTATCCATTCATCTACTGATGGACAATCAGGCTGCTTCCATTTCTTGGCTATTGTAAATAGTGTTGCAATAAACATAGGGGTGCATATGTCTTTTTCAACTGGGCTGCTGTATTCTTAGAGTAAATTCCTAGGAGTGGAATTCCTGGGTCAAATGTTATGTCTATTTTTAGTTTTTTAAGGAACATCCATACTGCTTTCCACAATGGTTGAAATAGTTTACATTCCCACCAGCAGTGTAGGGGGGTTCCCCTTTCTTGGCATCCTTGTTGCTCTTTGTATTTTGGATGTTGGCCATCTTAACTTGTGTGAGATGGTATCTCATTGTGGTTTTAATTTGCATTTCTCTGATGATTAGGGATGTGGAGCATCTTTTCATGTGACTGTTGGTCATCTGCATTTCTTCTTTGGAGAAGTGTCTGTTCAGCTCCTCTACCCATTTTTTAGTTGGCTTATTTGCTTTTTGTGTGATGAGCTGCGTGAGCTCTTTATGTAATTTGGATGTCAACCCCTTGTCAGACATGTCATTTATGAATATGTTCTCCCGTATTGTAGGATGTCTTTTTGTTCTCTTGATGGTGTCCTTTGCTGTACACAAGCTTTTTAGTTTGATATAGACCCACTTGTACATTTTCGCTTTTGTTTCCCTTGCCCAGGGAGATATGTGCGTGAAGAAGTTGTTCATGTTTATGTCCAAGAGATTTTGCCTATTTTTTTTCTAAGAGTTTTATGGTTTCATGACCCACATTCAGGTCTTTGATCCATTTTGATTTTACTTTTGCGTATGGGTTTGACAATAATTCAGTCTCATTCTCTTACATGTAGCTGTCTAGTTTTGCAAACACCAACTGTTGATGAGGCTGTCATTTCCCCCATTGCATATCTATGGCACCTCTGTTGTATATTAATGACCATATATGTTTGGGTTAATATCTGCCTCCTCTGTACTGTTCCACTGGTCTATGGGTCTGTTCTTGTGCCAGTACCAAATTGTCTTGATTATTGTGGCTTTGTAGTAGAGCTTGAAGACAGGGAGCACAATCCCCCCCCTCACTTTATTCTTTGTTCTCAGGATTGCTCTGGCTATTTGGGGTCTTTTGTGGTTCCATATGAATTTCAGAACTACTTTCTCTAGTTCATTTAAGAATGCTGTAGGTACTTTGATAGGGATTGCGTTGAATCTGTATATTGCTTTAGGCAGGATGGACATTTTGACTATATTCTTCCTGGCGAAGAGCATGGGATGAATTCCCATTTATTAGTGTCCTCTTTAATTTCTCTTAAGAGTGTCTTGTAGTTTTCAGGGTAAAGGCCTTTCAGTTCCTTGGTTAGGATTATTCCTAGGTATTTAACTCCTTTTCATTGTGCATGTGACATTTTATTCATATGATACACAAATGGTGGTGAAATTTCCAGGACAAAGCGATACACATAATCGGAAGTTTTATACACAGAGCAGAGTTTCTTAATTGGAATTGAGGGGCAGGCTCTGGGAAATCCATAAACTTGCTGAAATTGTAGGCACCGTTTGAAGTGGGCATGAGCACAGGTACCATATTCTATGATTCCACATCCTCAAAATGTTCTCTTGGGCTCAAAGGTGCCTGATGGGTGAGGATGTGTCCCTCTGTACAGTGGTCTGTACTAGAGTCCCTCTAGTGTCAGTGAACATTGAGCAGAAGAGCTCTGTTCTGTCAAGTGTTTTAAAGTGAACCTTTGAGGCCAAGTCAATGTACCTGGGATCTTTCTTACATACCTATGTTACTCTTGTAGGGCTGACTGTTTCTTCGTACCCTGAATTTCCTAGCCACTCACTAGACATGCTCCGTAGGAGAACGTGACAGAGGGTGAGAGTCCACCCATGTGTCAAGTGGAGAGTGGAGAGGACACGTCATCTGTGGGGGAGGGCTGAAAGGTGACCTGGACGGCTCGAGGATCATCTTGGGGGGTGGTCACAACTTGGGCAAGTGGCAGGAGACCTTGTTTGCCCCTGTTCAGATTGGACTGGCAGTTGCCTGCTTTTCCTTCAAACTGGTTGCTAGGTTGCAGCAACCTATGACCTCACAGGATTCCAACCCTCCTGGTTGGCAGGTGCTTGGCAGCACAGGTAGCCAGAAGCACCTTCTCAGAGCTTTCTCTACTCCTAGGGTCTCCTCAGCCTGGAGTAGGGATAACGGGCTCACATTCAGTGAGAATCCACAAGAGGAGTTTGCACAGGGTCTGGTCCCGGATGGGGCGAGACTTGGGCAGAAATCATGGCCAGTGTTCCATCGAGTTCCCAGGCTGTGAGCCAGAGGCCCCACCCTGGCCCCTCCGGGCACCAGCCGGACGTGATGCTGGACGCACAGAGACCAGGACCGCCAGGTGAGGCAGCGGAGGGACGAGGGGCTTGAGGACGGGGAGCCGACGGCAGAAAGGCCTACCCAGGTGGGGCTTGTGTGAAGGAGGGAGACACTGAGAAGGCCAGGGACTGGAGGACGAGGGTGTAGGTGTGGGGACAAGGACACACACGGGGAAGGGCACCTGGAGGAATTATCTAAATGAGGAAGACTGTTAAGAACGGGGAGACGGAACAATGGCAAAGTGGATGGGGGCAGATGGCTGCCAGCAAAGGAGAAGGATGAAGAGATGGCTGGGGAGAAGGCCACGGTCTGCGACAGCAGAGACGCTAGGAGCAGCTTCTCTTTTGGGGGTAGTTGCAGTGGAGTGGGAGGGGACACGGGGACCAAGGGATGAATCCCAAAGACAACAGCTGGACGCTGTCACCTTGTTTCTTTGTCAAGCAGCCCAGGCACACAGCAGCCCTCTGCCAGAGGGCTCCAGATGGCGCGGGAAGCGGGAGAGGTCGGCCGCTCTCCAGGAGGAGTCGGAGGAGGCAGCCCTGGGCACGGAGGACGCCTGGGTCGTGGACATGCTGTGCGGCCTCAAGATGAGGCTGAAGCGACGGCGGGTGTCCCCGGTGCTGCCCGAGCACCACGAGGCCTTCAAAAGGCTGCTTGGTAGGGGGAACCCTGAGCCTATTCCCCTTTAGAGAAACTTCCAGCGACTAGACTTTTCCAATGGAAAAGAATTCCCTGTCAGTTGGTGACCTCTCTGTTCCCAGAGGACTCCTCCGGGGACACTTAGAAATGAGGCAGGATTAGGCCAGAGGCAGAAGCAGTCTGCACTTGGAACACGAAAGCTCGGCTTCCACTGCACCCCTGAGGCTTTCAAATCTAAATGCCTCCGTCAGCCTGCGGGGTGCTCACAGGCCATTGGGCGCGCTGACGTGACCGTCAAGGGAGACAATGCCTGCCCCCCCCCAGCCACCAAAGAAGGGTGGCAGCGTGTTTCTGGCCCAGTGAGTGCACCTAGGCCTCCACACCCCAAAAGGTCCCATCAGGAGGCATGGCTGCTCTCTGCTCAGCCCTGCTCCAGCTGTCCCTGTAACCTGTGCCTCTCTTCACAGGGGACCGTGTTGTGAAAAGATTCCTGGCCTGGGACAAAAATCTGAGGATATCTGACAAGGTAACTTTGTCCACTGACATGTGTTCCCTCTCTAGCATCTACCCTGGGGGGCTGGAGGGATGCCTTCTAAACCCACCATCTCGCCTCTGTCTCCAACTCGGTGCCTTGTCCACACTGCCCTTTGCGGGGCCTGGAGGCACCTTGCGTGTGAAGGGGCAGCCCTGCCCCCACCCCTACTCCTCTGGGTTCCGCCCCTTTGGCTGCCAACGCAAGTCCCTTCTCGCCTCGGCCCTGGGGACTCCCCTTTGTGCCAGCTTATCAAAGACCCTTCTGATAGCGGCTGTCCTAAATAGCCGGCGTCCCACCAGCAAAGCCTGCCATCCACGAGCGTCCTAAAGCCCCTCTCCCCACACGGGCGGTGTCTGCCCCCAGCCTGCCCCTCCCTCACCCCCCCATCCTTCTTCTTCTGGGATGTGACCACTCTCCTGTGGCGTTCTTCTCTTCCTCAGTATCTCCTGGCCATGGTCATAGCATATTTCAGCCGGGCTGGCCTCCCCTCCTGGGAGTACCAGCGAATTCACTTCTTCATAGCTCTGTGAGTATTGCTGTCAGTGGCCGGCCATCAACAATCAGTCCTCTGGGAGGGCAGAGGGAGAGGTGTGGGACTCTGACCTTGCATCTATTTTCTTTTTTACTCCACACATAATGTTCAGTTTGGTATACCAAGGATAGGATTATAACAGAGTGGTTTCTATACTGTTGTCTGTGGAGACAGACAAGTCTAACACCAGTTAAAACACAGGAACAAACAAAAGACCACACAAAACCCTCCAAGAAGAGGGACAGAATGGGCACCACGCTGTCCCCAGATGGCCAGGCTTGAGACCGCACCGCGTCCCTCAGAAGCCTCGGCTGCTCTCCTGCCTGAGTCCACATCAAGTGGACCGTCCAACTCTGGGTTCCCAGGCAGACGCCACAATGCAGGCCCTCGTCATGTGACACAGACCGAGTGTAAACATTCCCCATCCGTGCTTTCTACAAGGCTTTACGTGCCCCAAATCCTCCAAGAACACAGGTCTAATGCTCCCCACCCCTCCTCAGCAATGTCACCAGCTAAGGGGGTTCTAAGCCGAGGCCAGCCTTCTCAGTCTGAACTCAACCCTCCCCACAGTCAGCATCACACTTGCTGATGGTCCTCATATTGCACTGCTTTGTTCCAATGCTCCATCTGAAATCCCTTCCCTCTGTTTTCACATTGTGTCTTCTGACTTGTAGGTGTCTTTCAGACATATATATATTGGAAGAAAATGACCTAGCCTTAAAGTCGGTGCGAAGAGCACGACTGTTCCCATGCCTCCCCTGGACCCCTAACTGCGGTCCCCCAGTAGCACATCAGCTAAAATCCTAGTGTCATGTCACGTTCTGGGTAATATTTACTTCACTTCTTATCTCCCCCCTCCCCTTCTCCAAACTATCAGACCAGACACCGTTGCAGGCAGGTCTTGTCAAAATATCCACATGTTCATAAAGCCCTCAGCACGCTACTTTGTGTTGCAAACGTTTAAGCTACACTGAGTCCATGAGGCAATCAGTATGGCATTTGACTGTGAGATAAAAGCATCCGTCCATCTGTCCATTCATTCAATGAAATCTTGTAGACTGCATTCCATGCCAGGGACTAGGAGGGCTGGGAGGAGAGCCTTGAGAAGGGCACGTGGCACCCATACTCCAGCCCGAGCCACATGGTAGGGAAGCTATGACTACAGAAACCGGCCAGTCAGTTCCTGCCCTCTGGATGCACACACGTCCTCACTCCGCAGGGAGCCGCAGGGTGCGCACATACAACCGGTTTAAAGGACACAGGGAAGATGATGGGGACATTGCATGGAAACTGCACTGCTCGCCCTCAGGCCTCCCCGAAGGCCTTTGTCTTCAGCATCCAGCTGTGAGAGGTGCCCTTCAGGTCCCTGCCCCACAGGGGCTTCTTGATGACTGGGTGGCCCTGTGTGATGCTGGTAGGGCTCCCGTAGGTCCTTTGTCAAGTTAAGCCTGTGCCTCTCCTTGTAAGTTGACCTTGGCTGGGGATCCTTCCCGTCTTGCTCCTGCCCAGCAGCCCGATGTATCTCTGCAGCTACCTGGCCAATGACATGGAGGAGGACGAAGGCCACAAACTGGCCATCCTTTGGCTCCTCTACAGGAACGACCATTCCAAGAGTCGTCTGTTCCACCAACGGAGAGTCCAATTCGCCCAATCCATGGGCTGGAAGGCCTGGGTCTCCCAGGAAGCGTGTGAGGAGGTGTGTGAGCAGCTCGGATCTGGGGGTGGGGGTGCCGGACTGCAGTGGGGGGAACACGGGATCGTGGGATGTGGAGGCGAGAAGGAACTGGAGGCTGGGTGAGGAATGAGGGGCCACCTGAGGGCAGAGCCACCTGGCTTCCAGATCCAAGCATTTGACCCAGAGCTCCTGATGTGGAGGCGAGACCGCAGCCTGCTCGCTGTGTGAGCGCTCCCAGGACCACGGAGGCCTGGGTTCACCGGCCCAGAAGAAGGGAAGTCTGGATCCTCAGGTGTAGACAGAGTACCTCATTGTGTCGGCTTAGGAGGTCACCCTTCCAGACACTGACTCAGCACCCAGCCAAAGGCCAAGGACACACACAGGTATGACCCGGGTGAAACGTGTGGGTGCCAGATCTCAGGAAAAGCAGTTTATCACAGAGGCACAGATCTCATTGAAGTCATTTCACCCTAAGTAACTGGGCCTAAATAATGGCTTCAATGAGATGTTGAGTCTTGGGAAAAGTGAGTATGTGTGCAATTTTTTCCATTTCTTCTGTTTTGACTTTCTCTTTTTATTGATATTGGCCTTTCATCCTCCATGTACCAACTACAGGCATTTATTTACAACCAAGTAAATGTCTAACAATAGGGTATCAGATGGAACAGTCTGCATATCCAACAATCAAACATAAGTTATGCCTGGCTCTATTTTCATGCAAATCTGCTCTAAATGAGCTCTCATGGCCACATTCCCTGATTTGTATCCCCTGCCTCACGATCTCTGCACTGATCTCCCCTCTTGTACAAACCTTCCCTCAGCTTGATAGTCAAAGAAGTTTATCAGAACAGGGAAGTTTTAAGAAATACTAGCTTCAACGTGACTTACTGCAATCAACACATAGGGTTATAGATCTGAGCAGAGGATTAAGCAAAGATTTGTTTAGAATCTCATGAACTAGCTGTCTTGTCCACTTGGGCTGCTATACCCGGGCACTACAGCCTGGGTAGTTTATGAACAACAGACGTTCATTTCTCACAACTCTGCAGCTTGACATCTGAGACCAGGGTGCCAGCAAGGCCAGGTTCTGGTGAAGACCCTCTGCTGGGATGCAGACGGCCAACTTCTCGTGATGTCCTCACATGGTGGGAGAAGCAAGCGAGCTCCGTGGAGTCTCTTTTATAAGGGTGCTAATCTCATCCATGAGGGCCCCTATGACCTGATCACCTCCCAAAGGCGCCACCTCCTGTAATACCTTCACTTTTAGGGGGAAGAATTTCAACATAGGAATTTGGAGGGACACAAACTTTCAGACAGTAGCCCTAGGACTAGGGCAAATTTAAGACTAAGCGTTGTAGCCAAACATAGCATCCAGGGTTACGATTAGGGGTCAGGCATCTGGTCTCATGGTTCATGATGTGGACATGTTACTGACATTTGTGGTATGGTTAGAAGTTCAGAATTTAAGCAGCACAAAATGACCAAGGTGTGCAAAAGCATAAAGCGGCATTTTCCAAGTGCGCTCTGCTCCCTTAGAAGAGCCACCTGGAGTGCCCATTAGACATCAGACTGCTGGGTCTGACCTTAGGCATGTTAAGTAACTTTGGGAGTCAGGGTCACCAAAGCCCAAGAATCACAATTGAAAATGAATTGGAGTTTAGAATAAAGGATTAGACAGCAAACGGGATTTATAAGTTAGTGTAAGCATTGACTAAAATTGCCCAGGAACGTGAATAAGCTTTATATCTGGAGAGTTGACTCCTTGAAATCTGACATCCTCTTTTTTGCTTACCTCCAGATCATTGAGCCCGGGGAAGATGCACGTTTTCAGCATGAAGTCAATCCAGACAGTTATGTGGGGAAGTAAGGAGCCTCTTGGGAGGATAATCTAGAAGAAGCCAGAATCTTCTAGAATGAGATGGAGCGTCATGTCATACTCCTGGGATTTGTGGCTACCTCTAGGAGTCTGTGGAGAATAACAAGGAACCAGAGTTTTTACAGATTCCATCCCTTCCTAAGGCACTACTGGAATTTTCAGACTGTTTCATTCAAATCTCCCCTGAGGTAGCAGTTGGAGGTACTGATTTTTCATGCATTTGGTTGCCACAATCTAGAACCATTTGAAGGTGGAGTAAAGGGACTCAGATTGGGAGGGAACTATTTTAAAAATATGAAATTAGAGACATAGGATTGTAATAGCCTATCATGTGCCAAAAAGAGCCCACATTTTTTTTTTTTTTTGAGAGGGCATCTCTCATATTTATTGATCAAATACACAGGGAAGATGATGGGGACATTGCATGGAAACTGCACTGCTCGCCCTCAGGCCTCCCCGAAGGCCTTTGTCTTCAGCATCCAGCTGTGAGAGGTGCCCTTCAGGTCCCTGCCCCACAGGGGCTTCTTGATGACTGGGTGGCCCTGTGTGATGCTGGTAGGGCTCCCGTAGGTCCTTTGTCAAGTTAAGCCTGTGCCTCTCCTTGTAAGTTGACCTTGGCTGGGGATCCTTCCCGTCTTGCTCCTGCCCAGCAGCCCGATGTATCTCTGCAGCTACCTGGCCAATGACATGGAGGAGGACGAAGGCCACAAACTGGCCATCCTTTGGCTCCTCTACAGGAACGACCATTCCAAGAGTCATCTGTTCCACTAACGGCGAGTCCAATTCGCCCAATCCATGGGCTGGAAGGCCTGGGTCTCCCAGGAAGCGTGTGAGGAGGTGTGTGAGCAGCTCGGATCTGGGGGTGGGGGTGCCGGACTGCAGTGGGGGGAACACGGGATCGTGGGATGTGGAGGCGAGAAGGAACTGGAGGCTGGGTGAGGAATGAGGGGCCACCTGAGGCCAGAGCCACCTGGCTTCCAGATCCAAGCATTTGACCCAGAGCTCCTGATGTGGAGGCGAGACCGCAGCCTGCTCGCTGTGTGAGCGCTCCCAGGACCACGGAGGCCTGGGTTCACCGGCCCAGAAGAAGGGAAGTCTGGATCCTCAGGTGTAGACAGAGTACCTCATTGTGTCGGCTTAGGAGGTCACCCTTCCAGACACTGACTCAGCACCCAGCCAAAGGCCAAGGACACACACAGGTATGACCCGGGTGAAACGTGTGGGTGCCAGATCTCAGGAAAAGCAGTTTATCACAGAGGCACAGATCTCATTGAAGTCATTTCACCCTAAGTAACTGGGCCGAAATAATGGCTTCAATGAGATGTTGAGTCTTGGGAAAAGTGAGTATGTGTGCAATTTTTTCCATTTCTTCTGTTTTGACTTTCTCTTTTTATTGATATTGGCCTTTCATCCTCCATGTACCAACTACAGGCATTTATTTACAA